TTAAGGTTTGTTGGTTTAGTTAGTTTCTATATACAAGAATATATATATATATATATATATATATATATATAGATGATGAGAAAATGATTTAGTGTTACTCTAACCTAGATATGAATATGAAAGAAAATAAGTGTTATGTTGTGTTTTTGTTTGGGAGAAATGGTGTGTTGAGGTGAAAATACAATATGAATGAAGGTGTAGGACAAGGTCTTATATGGATTTTTTTAAAAATTGAATGTAAGTTATATATATAGGGGTACTCATGTTAAATAGGTGGATTGAGTTGGAATTGGACATATCAAAATAGCGAGCGAGTCATTGACTCTCCTTTAAATTTACATATACAATTTTTTTTCAGTTGGATTGAAATTGAGTAAAAATCGAGTCATAATTCAATTTGCTCAATTTTTAATAACTTATGTATAAAAAATTGTTTGTTTGAGTATCTAAGACATAAAAACATTTTTGTTACCCAGACGATGAATTTTAGTCAATAATAATATGTTTACTTAAATACTAATCGATGATCATCAAAAAACTCATACACAATTCAGGTGTGGATAAACATAAAGACTCAAATGAGCATGGCTTAACCTAACATTAAATTTCGAACGCTTTAAATATTTTTAGTGAAACTTCTGACTTCATCGTTATTGGGTAAGAAAACGTAAAAAAATGTGAATCGTCGATGGTTGGGTCCATTCGTTAGGTAGGAATGATTCAAAATCGTCCATATGCTAAATTTATTATACAAACCGACCATGCTTTGACATATGGAGTCTATTGAAATAGTAATGGGGTCAATATGCAATTCATAGAAAATTTTGGGGTATAAACAAACACCGGCGAAGAAGATACACAAAGCATACAACTAGGGCTGCATATCGGTTGGTTCGGTTCGATTTTAAAGTTTATCGATTTGGCTTATTGATTATCGGTTTGTATAGAAGTCAAAGTATTATACAATCATTAAGATATTGACTTATCGGTAATTAGTTTATCAGTTATTGATCGTTATCAGTTCGGTTATTTATTTAACCGTAAAGATTTGACACAAAAAAGAAAACATTAAAAATCACTTAGAAATAATGTGACAACCCAAATAAACCATGCACATAAGTTCACAAATTACATCTTGCTCAAAAGCAAATACTTTTACGTTGTAGAATAACCAAGAGTTTGAGACAACCAAAATAAAAGTACAAAATCGAATCCTAAGTCAAAGACTTAATATACAAAACCATATACATATAATTATTTAATTTACTACCAGATTATTGGTTAAAGAAAAAACCTCAAACATTAAAAACTGATAGCCCGATAAAAAATAACCAAAATCGTTAAATTAATAACCCATTAATGATAAATCACTAATTTTTTTTTATTCAAATTATCAGTTTCGATTCGATTTTGAACTGCCTACGTATCGATTATCACCACCGTCCCTTGAGTCTCATAATTCTATTTGTAGCCCTACATGTTTGTAGTTTAGTCTTTGGTACCATTTATTTATTTCTATACAAAATGAAGAATGGTCGGTGATGTTTATGCCATGAAAGGTAAAAATTTGATAGGTAAGGTTTGATAATGTGATATTATCATATTATACTTGTGGACATTGTTAAAAATAAAATAACAATAATATTATTTTTTTCGATACTTAACAATTATAAAAACTTGTGAGAAATAATCAAGATTTAAATTCAGTACAAATAAAAATAATAGATGTTGGTTTTTCTATTGTTGATTAATAAAGTTATTGAGAATATGTATTGTTATATAATATAACAAAGTTAATTGATACATGTCCTTAGACTAGAGATATTATGATAGATATCTATACAATACAATAATCGAGATGCAGGAAATTGTTGATATGATACACTCATTTTTTTTCACAGATAAATTATTATTTTCTATCTCGATATAATTCTCAACTTGGATAATTATATGTGTATGCCAAGGGAAGCTTTCAAGCCAACCTAATTGTTCTGAGAAACTAATAAGGAATTTCCAACCCATAAAGGGATAAATTATAAGTGAAGAAATGGTTGTATAAAAAGTCGTTTTTATTATCTCCCCATTTAAATTATGTAGGAGGAAAATATAGAAAAACTTAATATATCCAACACGTATAAATAGAGTGTATATATCTAATAAAATTCATAAACTTAACGATTGAAATGAATGAATATAATGGCATTGATCCAAATTCGAATTTGTCTTTTAAGAAAATTATTCAATATGTTTGAATTATTGATCTATAACCTAATAACTTCAAATAATTAGAACTCCAAGCTCATGCATTTCTCATCTCGACTCCATCTCTCAAATAATTAGAACTCCAAGCTTTCTTTCTTTTCGATTATTGTTATAGTACTTTATTCACACACCCATCAATTTTCCCCTCAAACATATCACTAGTAGATATAAAATTGTCGATGAAAATCAATTAATAACATCATATTGTGAGGATATAAAAGAGGTATGAAGAAGTTTGAACTCTGTATATGAAGAAAATCTTGTTGAAAACGCCATTTCGAAAACCAAAAAAAGAGGGATGAAGAGAGTTGACCAAGGACATAAGGTAGGGCCAAAAAGATTGGTGCATTTCTTTGTTTTGTTATTGATGGTCAAGCATGCTCATCACCAAGATTATTTGTGGTCTAGTATGGAGGATTTAAGTGTGTTTGTTACTCACATCATTCTAGTAATCATTAATCATCAACACATACTAATTTTCTTTTTGCATGTATATCCAAAACTATATATAAAGAGGTAAATACATTGATTTTTTTTTCACTCAGTCATTTTTATACTTATCTTTCTAATCATTATCAGTTGTTGGGCTAGTTAAAACGATTTAAACATGTATAATTTTATTTAAAATATATCACATTATTTATAGTTCTAACACTATATAAATACCTTATTTTTCCTTTATATATACTTTATATGTGAGAGTTTATTTCCACACACTCAACAATTTATCCTTCTAACTAAGCTCGACATGACCCATCACAATCCACAGACTAATCTAGAGATTTTTCATGCGCCGTAGCTAGCTCACATGTCATTCAAATATTTATGACCAGTTATAAAATCAAGCTCATGGCAATATAAATATAAAGAGATGAAGACAAAATAAGTAAGATGGAAGATAAGACTTTCTTTTGATTCAAGTGTATTCTACAAAAGGTGAATGATATCTCTATTTATAGAGTTGAGATATCATCCCAAAGGCCTCCATGATAAATGCCCAATTAGTAGGTACATAGTTATCCAAATGGTTCTTATCACCTTGGAACATGTATACATGAATACAATTAAGTCTTGAGTATATCTAAAGGACAATCCACACAATTCAATGGATTTATAACACTCCCACTTGGATGTCCATAAATAATGTGTCTCGTTAAAACCTTACTAGGAAAAACCATGTGGGAAAAAATTCTAGTGAAGGAAAAAGAATACATATATCTTTTGATACGCACTATTTGTTGCCTCATTAAAAACCTTGCCAGGAAAACCCAGTGGGAAAAAAACTTCGGTCAAGGAAAAAAGAGTGCAACGCATATTATACTTTTCCTGATTAAAACATCACTTAATTTCTTGTGATGATGTCTCTAATCTTCGTACATTGTGGTTGATATATTCTTTTCAAAGAAAAACCACACATTTCTTGAATATGGTGTGTCATTTATCTCAACTAGACGCACTTTCGACTTGCTTCATGGAGGACTTTTATTTTTGCATAGCAACATTTACTTCATTGATCGCCAGGATATTATTGTGCCTCCAATTGCAAACACATAGCGTGCTTGAGATAGAGCTTTATGCGGATCAGATAAATATTCTGCATCTGCGTTACCAATCAATTTTGTCTTGAATTCCTCGGAATAGAATAAACCCATAACTATGCTCCTTCAAGGATATTCAATCATGTGCTCAACACCATTTCAATGTCCTTTTATCGGGGAGAAACTGAATCTTGCCAGTAAATTTACTGCAAAATAAATATCTGGTCAAATATTGTTAGTAAGATGCACTAGTGCCCTGATTGCACCAAGATAGAGTTTCATCACCAAGAAACTCTTCATCCTTCTTTTGAGATCAAACCGAATCATCATTTATGTCAAGTAATCTCATAATCATTGGGGTACTCAATGAATGTGATTTATCCATATAAAATTGCATCAAAACTTTTCAGTGTATGTGCACTGTTAGACAAATATTTCATTTGTCAAATCATCAATCTATCGGTCAAGACAAAATTTTGTCTTACCAAAATCTTTTCATAAAAAAACAAGGACAATTAGGGTCATTCTTTTGTACCCTTTTTCTTCCTTGACCATTTTAATCCATATAAGGATTCTTGAAGCTTTATTGAAAAAGTTTCTTTCAAACTCTTATATGCTTCAGACACCTCGATTGTTTCAAGGATTTTCATATAACCTTCATTGTCTAGCTAGACATTACAATTATTCATTACATGCATTCAAGTTTTTCATATGTTGCCAGATCAAAACAAACCTCATTGCATCCACAAAAAAAAAGAACATCTCCAATAATGTCAGGATTTTTGCGATAAACCTTTATGCCCCAAGGCACAAATCGTATTTGATATCTTACGGTTATAGTATCACATAATAATTTATTTGTACCCCACTGACATTATACCTTGATTTATGGACTACCAGTCCAAAATGTCATTTTTCTAAGTGAAACAGAATATACTTGAATTGTGAATTTTATTTGGCCAACCATTTATCTGTCCACACTATATGACAGATTTAAATTCAAGATCCTCGTCACAATTTATATCATTGAGCGCTACCTCATATCAAAGATATCGTCGACGATTATTTGATATCGATTCCAACAAGACATAACTTATCGAGATCTCTTCATTTTTCATTATTTCAGGAACCTGAACCTTTTTCAAGATTTTATGAAGTTTTATGTCAATGTGCTCTTTTATAGCACTTGCCTCATTATCATGACCATATTGATCATTTGCTCCTTCCTTCTTCAAGGAATTTTATATTTGAAATCGATTGGTCTATTACGCTTCCGGCGTATCATAGACTCTGTCCTTCAAGGTCTTCACATTAGAGCATTTGCAGCTGAATTCTATCATAGGGTCAGTGCATTCATCTGGAAACTGATTTGCAACATTATGCAACTGAATTATTCCTTGAACTTTAAGTTCACATATATATTTAACGAGGATCTAGATAATTCATAATTAAGCTCACACATAATTTTCAGCTATCAAAATCATCTCTCCCCCTAATGTTAGAAAATCTAACATTCATCCCAACCTTATTTGGAAATTCATCTTTGTGCGTGGTGGAGCAATTAAAATCATAACCGCACATTTTAATATTTTAGATGAAAATTATATGGTTCCTGACCCTGAACCAATTTTAATGGGAGACCTTGTTGGCTTGATGCATACATGTGTTGCTACATGTTAAATAAATTTATCTCATACCAAATTTTGTTTTGGGAGTTCTGTTCTCATAACCATGATTTAGCTATAGTTAGAGGCATACAATTTTAGCTAAATCAACCAGCATTATCAATATAATTTCATGATTTGGAACTGTGCTCTTAATTTAACAATTCGAGCAAATAACCTTACACACACCATTTGTAAGTTGACAATAAAACACATGTGATCATCGTATAGATGCATCTATCATATAGTTGCAGATGATCCACATGGAAGGTGAATGGGCCCATATTCACCTTTTTATATGTTCCAAAAACTTCAGGGGATTACAATCCAAACCTTAGCTGGTACAATGAAAACAAGCAATACAAGAGAATTCTTGAAGAATCTTTTATTTCTTCATCATATAAGCCACATAAATTCTCAATTACATTTGCATCACATTTAAATCAGAATGGTCAACTGATCATGCCAACTGATTTTTATTTCAGTACACTAATAGTTTACTTTTGCATGTGATTCCATCAGTATGCACATGTTTGTGTGCAACAAACACGAGGAAAAAATGGGTAATATTTATAACCCTCTTCAATTGTAGTAATTTAAAGATATTAAATCTTTTCATAATTTATAGTCTCAATATTTCTTTTCAATTCATCCGAAACTTAAAAAGTTTCTTTTGAGACTTACTACAACCCAATATTATTCCATTGATAATAGCACAACTCGTTAGAGCTTGCAATTTAATTTTGTGTACTATCACATGTTCCATGACACCATTCCTATGGTGAGCATCTCCTTCAAGGAGGAAATTATATTATCATTGTCATGGTCAAAATCATTACGAGCAAGACATGTTTCTTGCTTTACTTTTGTTGTACCATAGGTACACAACCAATGACAAATTTGTATTGCCACACAATAATGACTACAACCCTTATAGACAAGAACTATTTCTTTCTTTTGCCCTTTCGGTAGTTCACAATAAACATACCATAGTGACGTATAAACATACAATACCATTAACTATTTCTGGCAAATAAAATTTATTTCCTCTCAAACCTCCCGTAGAGGTGAATTTCGGTGTATATATCATTTTTTCTCAAACCTCCCATAGAGGTGAGTTGTGGCATATATTCAACCCATAATGATTTTTTCACATCTTGACTCATTCTCTTACAGAATAGTCGAGAATTCACGATACTCATTACAAGTCACATTCTCTTCAAGGAATGGACTAATCATTTATATGTACTTCATAAATTTGCATTATAAGTACATTGTCATGGTTTTTAAAATTCATCATTTCCATGACACACCTCAACATCACTTTGAAAGATCAAGTGTATCATCACTTTATCTTCTTGTCTTTTGATGGAGGATTTATAAAGTTGTCAAATT